GATTATCTTATTTTTGGTTGAAGACATGAAATATTGAGTAACTAAACTATTCTTTACATGTTAACATATAATTTTTCCAATATTAGAAAGATAACAAAAGGGTTTGGACCTCTCCATTGAAATAAAGTTGCACAAAATATGATTCTAAAAAGAGAAAACCTTTGGCAATTAAAGTTTAGTCTCTTCCATTAATTACTCAACAAAACTGAACCCATATGAGAGAGATCCAGATTTAGGATAAAAATCTAGACATCTATCACATGGATAAAGTCTTAGCAAATATGTAGAGCTGAATTCAATAGTCCAGCAAATAGGTGAAAAAATCAATTCTAGATGAGGGACCTAAGCTGGAGTTGGTTGCTGAGTTCCTCTGATGATTATAGAATTGGTAATGCCTTAAGGGTTAGTCCTGAAAAAACTAAAATGTGTGAATAAAAAGAGAATGCACAACATAATTTCTTTAACATTAAAATTAGGATAGTTCGAATTACCGAACAATCGATTGGAACTGGACAAATTTTTTTTTTCTTAGGATAAGAAATAATTTTAATTAAAATATAAATATTCAACCTTCTTGATTATGTCTTTTTTTCTTTTTGAAAATTTTTTAGCAGAATATCATGATAAAATATTACTTTAGATGATACAAAATGATTATGATGAATCTCAAAATTATAAAATGTATTTTGAGATAAATATAATATTGCATAATTATTTAAAATTTACTATGCACATTTATAGATCTCGAAATGAATTTAAATACTTTAAATACATTTGAATAAAATTTGATCGGAATATTTTTGCACTTAACTTGAAAAATTATATAAGAATTGGCATGATTGGTGTTTGAAATATTTAAATTTATGTTAGAATTAGTATTGATATATATTATCATGAATTTTATTAATCTGAAAATTAAGTAAAAGTATTTAAGTAAATTACGTCTGGATTTCTTTTGGAATAATTTTTCGTATATGTTTGAATTGTTTTGATTGGAGTTGGGCCACACAGGTGGTAACATACGCGATACTGGCAGCGGGTGCGGCGGCGGCGGAGATAGTGTACCTGGCTTACGAGGGAGACGAGCAAGTGACATGGAGCAGGGTTTGTGGTGTATTCGGTGGATTTTGCCGGAAGGCGAAGGCGTCGGTGGTGATAACCTTCGGGGCGGTGGCCTGCTACGTTCTGCTTTCTCTCATCTCTTCCTATAGGCTCTTCAGTGCCTACCACGCGCCCGTTTCCACCTTCGCAGCTACAGTAGAAGATAACGAAGCCAATTAATGTCAGTAGCTATTGTTAAAAGCCATTGTAAAAGTACGTTCGGAATTGCTCTACGTTCTTATTTACGTACTCTTGTTGATTTTGGTGATAATACTGTAAGAAAAGGCGAATTTTTCGTCCGGACACCCAATCCAGATGCGCATGTTATCCGTATACACTGGATCCCGATGTATTTTGATGATATGACGCATTTGGATTGATTTCCGTACAATTCCGGACACCGGACGTAATAATTTGCCGTAAGAAAAAATAAAGCTAATATCAATATTTACATCCCAAGAAGTTGTAGCCATCACTGCCTAGTTTAAGAAATTTTATTTGGTTTCAGAACTTATATTTGGTGGCAGATTCATCCAAATTTATGCTTTAATTCTATATGATATCAGATGGTAATCCATGGAAAGAGAGGATTTTTATCTTTCTCTATGAGAATAGAAGCACTAATGGATTAGTGTAGATAGGTCTGATTTTATTAACAATAATTTAGAAAGAACTTTATTATTTTAATAAAAATTAGCCGCAAATGCCAGTATATCGGACAAGTTTTTACTAGCTACATGGATATACCATTGATGTTGGTTACTACTGAGTTGACTAATACTTATTGAAACCAATTCAAACTCTCCGTATTAGTTGATTAACTACTCAAACAAATATACTACTTCATGTTTTTGCCCATTTCATGCTAATATTAAAATAACTTAAAAGCATCATTCATATCCAAGGCAAAATATAGCACAACACCCAATAAAATTCAGTTCTTTAAGAAGATTAAAGATCTTATAAAGAATTCGTAGATATAAGAGTTCAGTGCTGCCAACTTTTTCACCATTATGAGCACTAAATGCTCAACCTGCCCAGCTTACCATCAACCCTAAACCTGACTAACCATGTGAGATTGGTTTAAAGAAAGAAATCCATATTTGAAGTTCAAGCATTTAATAATAACTAATTTTATATCTCATCAACATCTCATTACTTTTGCCCACAGGATCAACTTATTTTATTTCATTCAGCGCTTTCTGTATTGCAAAGTCTACCTACAGGCCACAAAATTCTTACCAATTAATATTTAACAGCTAACTCAATACCCGTATTTTTAAACTATGTAAAAAAGAACACTGATATTAACTTCATCAAAAGTTAAAAAACTCGTCAATGTAAAAGATGAATGAAAGCAAATCCCATTTTTAACTCATTAAAATGAATTTCAACAGGAAGCTAGAAGGTATCCTTTATGATAATTTTTTACTAAAATAATGCAAACCAAGAAGGAATAAAAAAAAACTGTATTACTTCAATTTATAATATTAATAAAATAATATACATTAACAATATGACAGATACACATCATTAAAACTCATTTGATTCCACACTCAAATCCAACCACTTGAAGCAAACCCTCGCATATGGTAGGAAGCATCATCAATAAAACACTACCTGCAAACTTGAAACACACGAGTAGCAGAAATTGTACTATACCTGTCTCCCTTCAAATATTAAAAATACCATCCATGCGTTAAATAGAACTTTTGCTTAGTTAACATTAATCTTAAGGCTTAATTTGGGACGACTTTCTTACCGCTTCTTATAACAATTTTCTAGCACAAAAAATAAATTTTTGTACTGAAAAACTGCTTCAAGAAGCAGAAAGAAAGCCCTCCCAAACTTCTTATAACATTTTTTACACCATCTACTACTACAACAACAACAACAAACTTTTATCACACAATGTTGGGTTTGTTACATGAATTCTTTTTTTCTCCATTGTGTAATAGGCTTTGTTTGGGAGGGATTTCTTACAGCTGCTTATAACAACTTTCTAGTACAAAAATTAAATTTTTTATACTCAAAAACCGCTTTAAGAAGCAGTAAAAAAGCAGTCCCAAATGAAGCCATAATAAGATCAAATTCTGTATGCCATTACACTATCTATTGCAACAAAATAAAAGCTAGGCCATTCTATACGCTAATTTAGCATTGCCACCACCTTACCCTCTTATAAGCAATTTACTGCATTTGGTCGCCCTTCTAATGCATGTTGATCAAGGTAGACTGTAATCATAGCTATTTTGGATATAGACCTCATAACAAAAAACTGAAGCATAAGCTGCTTACCAAAGAATATTTTCCTCCCGCGGAGAGAAGAGGCGCGTCATGAGTACAGAGATCTCATGCTTTTACAACATAAACTAGACTACAACAAGTACAGAGAAAATTGATAGGATAATTCCAAGATAAAATATTAAAAAGGATATACAAAAACTTACTCCTAAAGTTATCTAATGTACAGCTTAGATCTAGACATTTACAGCAGGCTATGCTATTGCTGCTGAGTAGAATCTGCAGGGGCAGAGGACCGCTTCTTAAAATATTTACTGTTAAACGACATACCATGTTCTGGGAATTTCTGTTTAACAAGATTCATGAAGCACTTGATGTAAGAGAAGTCAGATCTCGATCCATCCGTTGAAACAACAAAAAAGCAACGGCTGTCCGTGTAAGTCTCGTGCTTATCAACCTGCATTTAAACAATGGGATCATTCATCCACCGAAATGATTACCAGCCTCTACAAATCATATTAACACTACAAACTTCAATATAAACCATACAAGATGCAATTGATTAACAGAATTATTTTCATTTATAATTATCTTACCATTATCATCATCATTACTAGCATTATCCAAATATTTCGGGGAATAAATTCCAATCCTTTTTTTTTTTTTTAGTGTTACATTAATGAATATTCTATTTTGCATTAAGTTTATTTCTGAAGAGATGAGAAGTACAATTGTAATTATTCTCTGATTACATGAATAGAAAAATGAGTTGCTGGAAACAGGTAAATGCGGTTTCCAGACTGCAGAATAAAAGAAAACAATAACTATGCACTTCAAATAACCGATCCAGTTTTTCAGAACATAGAAAATCTAAAACTATGAATGGAAGTTGAAGATCTGAATATTTATATATGGAATTGATCGTTTACGTGGGGATTGATTGTCGACGTCCTAAAAAAAGATAGCAATTTTAATTTCAAAAAGTAAATTTTTGTGGAATAATGGAGTATAAAATGAATTTCATTGAATGTTTTTTATATGAAGGCACAAAAATCAAGTAGCAAATATTAAATTTTAAAGTGTACGTACATAAGGTTATGAGATGAGAATGTGATGTATACATCTACATTTTCAAAAAATGAAATCTAATGAAATGAGCTTCAAAAAAATAATGTATGCTGATAGGAGGGCAATGTGACAAATTATACGGAAAGGACGACAAAGTTGAGCTCATAAAAAGGTAAAATGATCCTTCTGTTAGTCAATTGCATGAGTTTTCATTATCATTTATGAGTGAATGGTATTTGCAGGTTCTCTATTCGCCACAACTTTGGAATATTTTCTGTTGCATTTAATTTAGACCTTGTCAATTTACAGATTACAATATCATTTTAAATCTTATGTTATTTTCCTTGTGGTTTAAGTTCAAGTTCAGTTCGAGTCCCCTATATCCGTTCATTTGAGTTTAAATCAGGCCCTCTACATTGTTCATTTGAGTTCAAAATGAATTCCCTGCTATCCAAATCAAGTTCCTTGTATTTGTTCAAATCTTGTGCGCTTTCACTCTGAATATCGGCAACCTCCTGGTGTCTCCACTGTGTAGGGAAATTTCAGGAGTCTGAGCCATCCCACCACGCTACAAGAGCGTGTATAGTAAGTGTTGGGCTACACCGCGGCCATATTTCTTCAATCCCACCACGCTACTAGAGCGTGTATGGGTCTTCATAATACCTACTAGAAGTCGTGCGATTGGTTTCCCTGCCACGATACAAGAGTATGTACAGATACTTAAATATGCCCCAGCCACACTACGAGAGGCGTCGTACCAGATTCTCTCCCACCGTGTTACGAGAGCGTGTATAGAGGGTTCACTTTACGCCACAAACGCCGAAAGTGAGATTTTTTAAAAGTTTAGAAAATTATACCTTTGTGACGAGTTAGCAGTGACAACGAAGGTGATGCCAATAAACAAAGCACCAAAATTCTCAATTTCACTCTTATTTTTTCATCTTTTTTTTTCAAAATCGAAATGTGGATGTGGAGAAACGTGAATACTCACACATGCGAGGGATTTTCACGTGAGAAAATTGCTAGCGTTTAGGAAGGTTTGGAGTGCTATCACATAAAAGAACTTCGCGGGGCTTTCGTCTATCTCATTTTAATTTTGAAGCCAATACTGAAGAGTTGTAATCGAGATGATAGATTCACGAAAACAATGCTAAGTTTAACGAAAAATGGAGAATTTAATCAGAGGATACGAGATAATCAAATTAATGGGATTTGAAATTTCAAGGCTGGTTTTTTTAAAAATTAATATTAATATTAATAATATTATATTATTATTAATTCTGAATGACAGTCGCGCACTCATTTATTCAATAGATAAAGAGGAATAAAATAACTCAACAACGAGCTAAAGATTTAGTTTATGTGCATACAAATATTCGTCTTCTATCAAGGAAGACCCCACTTTATATGAAAGGTGATAACAAGATGTGGGATGTTGCTAAAAATGTATTCGAGTACCTTGATGATAAGGGATATTTTTATGTTTGAACTAGACATTTTGTACTAAACATTTTTATGTTATAAGCAAAATAAGTTATCATGACATATTATTGCTTGTCATTTATAATATTATGTCGTGTCCACGCCGCACAAGTGTCCTATATTTTTAAAAAATGTCATATCCAGTGTAATGTCGTGTCCGTGTCGTCGTGTCCATGTCGGTGCATCATAGATTGGTACTAATTTAGATGGTGGCTCCTGAGATAATTGTATTATTTATGAAAAATAAGAAATGAGAAAGATATGATATATATCACATATATGATTTGATATATGATTTATGCAAAACATTGAAAGTTTTGATGAAATGATGTGATTAAATAAAATTATTTTATGATATGAATTGATAAAAGGGTCATGCATATTGTTCATATTTCCTTGAGTTAATGTTAGTTTAGAAGCATGTTTTACTCATTGAGCTATAACTTATTTTTAATTGCTCTAACATTTAAAGGTATAATTTAATAAAATAAATTTGAGTAGAAGAGGAGAAAATGTATATCATAGATGTGACACACCGAATGAAAGGTATTTAATTCATTTTATCAGTTATTTTTTTCATTTTAGTGGCTATTTCAGTGTAGTCGAGATAGATTTAGCAAATGAAAATCTAATTCACCATTTGACCGTCATTTTATGCCTCATTAATTCGAGTCTTCGGGCTGGGTCGTGACATCAATTATTAGCAATTTAATTGAAATTTTAATGCATATACATTTCTAAACTAGTAGCATAATTTGGTTTAATCATACACCGGATATTTAGATTTTGCAATGAGACCAAGTAAAGACTTAACAAAATTTTGAGATAAGAGATTTGACTTTCAAAAAGGAATCGAGGTGAGTGGTTAAATATTTATTTTATAGCAATTGCAATTCTGTTTATGATTCAATGCATCAAATAACATGACATGTTTTATGCATACCTATTAACATTAATAATACAACTAAACATTAAAATGAAGAATCAAATATCCTTTATTAGAATATAATACACATCAAAGATAGTAATGTCATTTTATAATTCATATATATATATATGTATGTGTGTGTGTAAATTTAAATGAAAAGTAAATTATCATATCGAAAGAAATAAACTAAAAGAAAAAAAATACATGCATACAAATATAAGAATCTACCCTTTTATGATAGAACTGCAATTGTAGACATCATCCTGAAATAACTGATTAATTAAAAATTATAAATTGTCAAATACAATATGAAAGAATTTGTTATGAAAAATGATGTATTGTTTTATCAGTAATTTTGTTTAAATCTCTTAAAAGAAATACTTAATGATTAATCATGATAACTTATATGCATAAAAAAAAATATGCATAGTATTTTTATTTATTGCAATATTATAGAACTATACTTCAAAACTAAGTTTCATGATGGAAACACAGCACATACATATTTCAGGTAATGCTCTGATCAAGTAAATGGCTGGCAAAGACAAAGACAAGGAAGCAAAAATGAAAATGATTGTACATTCAATATTCTTCTGAAATAAAAGACATGTTAAAAGTTATAAATTGGCAAATGTAATATCAAAGAATATTTTATGAAATATTATGTCTTATTTTATCAATAATCATATTTAAATTCCTCATAGGAAAGATTTAATGATTAAGCACGATAAATTATATGAATATCGTTCTTATTTATTGCAATGTTATAGAACTTTAATTAACCACTGAGTTCGATAATGAAAACTCAACTTACGAGATTAAATATTTCAGGTAAACATCTGATTTAGTAAATGGCTGATGGAGAAGGTTTCGCATATAGACGAAAGGGATCTAATGAAAATACATATGAATTGCATTATACATGTTCAAACTTATAATGAAAGATTAGTGGCTCTTTCCAAAATTTTGGATGCTATTTTTATTTGATCGTTTTAGTTATTTTGAAAGAATTTATTTATAGTCCGACTGTTGTTTCCGACTTTCTGACTTTATATTCCAAGTACTTGGGTCAAGTTGTGACATAGCCCACATCTCATAGTTATCTCCTTCGAACACCGACGGAGCAATTGAGAACGAGCTTTGAGAGAAGGAAGAGATCCCTAAGTGAGGATGATTGCAATACCCGTCAGCCTTTGGAAGAGTCCGAGGCTTGCGGTTCATCATCGTTCTTTCCCTTTCCCCTACATCCGTCCACCTCCCCTTCTCCCAACACCAGCCGGCCTGCTATCCCCCACAGTCCCCTCCTTTTTTCCCGTAACTAAGGTCTCCCCACCACATAACCGCCGACCTCTCTTGGCTCCTCCAACCGCAGGCCCGTTTATCAAGGGAGGCATCGGAGATCGAGCGCCACGATCAGGAGCGCCTTTATATTTTTATGCATTATTTATGATTGTTTATTTCAATTTCCTACTTTTTACCCCATATAGGAAGTTAGTTGCTTTTGTAGCCCTTGGACATTCTAGTCTTTTCTCTTCTTCATTGTTGTGAGCTTTGAGAGAAGGAAGAGATCCCTAAGTGAGGGTGATTGCAATACCCGTCAGCCTTTGGAAGAGTCTGAGCTTGCGGTTCATCATCGTTCTTTCCCTTCCCCTACATCCGTCCACCCCCCTTCTCCCAACACCAGCGCGCCTGCTATCCCCACAGTCCCCTCCTTTTTTCCCGTAACTAAGGTCTCCCACCCACATATAACCGCCGACCCTCTTGGCTCCTCCAACCGCAGGCCACTATTCCCACGCCAATAGCTACCCGCCATTGGACACCCCCCCCCCCTGCCCTAGATACCTCTACAGTCCCCCATGAATTTTGAAATTCAAAATTCAAATTCCCTTATTCACTTTCCTAAAATAAGTCCTTTATTGATTAGGAAAGCTTCCTAATTAAATTCAAATTAATATTTGAATTTATGCACTTTCATTATTGATAAACTAATTTAGGAAACCTCTTTATTCAAACCAAATTTGAAATTAAATTAGAGATTTGAATTCAATTCCTAATTTAATTCAAGGGCCCTAGAACTATTTTTGGCAATAGTTTGGAGTTTAAATTACTCCCTTTTCTTCTCTTGGAAAATTCTGAAATAAACTTCAGATTTTCAAAGTCCTTTTCCCCATCTCCTTAGCCCTAAACCCTAGCCGTCCTCTCTCTTTTCCCCTCTACTCGAGAACCCCCACCGCCGGCTCCTCCCCTCCCTTCTCCCTTCACTAACCACCGGCTCCTCCAAGGTTCAACAACAAAGAAGACTCCCATATTCATGGGTGGCCAATCCTGAAGTCGAACACATATTTGTGTACGATTCTCAAGGACGAATTGATATCCTTCAGTCACCATTCTTCGATCATGACTGAGAGTTTGAAGATTCCGTCGAAGACTACGTCGATCACATTCTATTTCATCTAATAGAGACGGTCGACAAACAACGACCATCCAGACAGTGGCAACTCGTCGGACATCCACCTGCGCCTCCTTCTCCGGCTACCTTCCCGTGGATCAAGACCGTGGGCGTCGTAACTTTCTTGGTGGCATTGTTTGGTTTGTTGAAGATCTCTCTCCGCTTAAGCACCATCATAGAGTGTGAGTGAGAAAAGAAACTCTAGATGAAAAGCTCTAAATATTAACTTGTGAATTCTTATTACAACACATTTAGTTTTGTTGTATTTTCTGAAATTATTTTAAGTTGTTCTATTATCCTAAAATTTTAACTGCATGCCAAAGCAAAATGTTAATGGATACTTCCTAAAATTATATCTTGTAGCTCATTAATCTTAAAGTAACGAGCTTACAATAATTTTATTATTTCCTTTGCAATTCCGGTTGGTTTCACATCAAAACAATTGTCATTATTCTCTTCTTTCAAAAAGAGAAAGATGTGATTTGCTGAAAACAAAGAAATTTGTTTTTCAGGAAATACAGAATATAGGAAAACAACAACTGTCACAGCGCGCACACACTTAAACAACCAACTCAGTTTTTCAGAATTTTTAACATCTGTAACTTCTACTAATTAAAAAAACTAGCAGAAATTAAAACAAAATAACTAGATAAGGCCAATTAATGGCCATTAACATGCGCTGATGGTGGTGGTGTACAAATGTATAAAACCAATAATAAAGTCAGACATCAACCAGCCAGCATAGAACCCAACAAAAAAACAAAAAAACAGCAGCATGCCATGTATGCTTTTTTTTTTTTTTTAATTCCATGTATGCTAATTGACCCTCCAGAAAACAGTGCCTAGGTAGATACTCAGAGAATCATATGTATAAGTCCAGTAAGAAAATAAAAATGGTTATCATGTGAACTTTGACCAGTGAATAAAATTATAGCAATATTAAGAAGAAAACCATATTTATTGGAAAAAGGTTACCTATGATGATGAAAAGTTATAACAGATGGGACTTCGAGAAGCATATATATATATATATATATATAATAACCCATAAAACATTTTAGTTCAAAAAAAGACTTTTCATTTGATTTCACAATCACATAATTAAGAACGAGACGTACCATAATGTGATCAATCTGACCACCACAAACTTTGCCATTCTTATCAGGATGGTACTCAAATACTTTCTCCTTTATAAACTGCTGGTGCTCAGTAGATAGAGGTTCGCCAACACTGCAAGGAAACAAGAATATAGCATCCAGTCAGGTTATATATTAAAAATTGAATTCTCGCCACAACAAAAACACTGAAGATGATCTAGTGATTCCTCAAGGTCCTTCTATGACCAGATTAGGTAAGCCGAAAGCCACCCCGCATTCCCCACCCAAACAACTTCCCAGCAAGTCTCAAGGATTTATTATTCCCAGGACCTTTTGGGTTTGGCCTTGTTTATACCGTAGATGTAACAAAGAAACCATCCATATCAGCTCATTTGAAAAATCAAATGAACCAAGAATGACTAGCAGATATTCACCCACAAATAGATGGAAAAAAAAAACTTAGGATAAAGAAATATTAGTCAAGGAACCACAAAGTTTGGAGGAAAATTTAACATAATGTAATTTGATACGACTTGAACACTAAAAATCAGCGAACAAATAGTAAATTTCAACAAACTAATAGATTTTTTATTGATAGGAAAAGAAATACAAATAAGTAGGATACAATGGTCCTCTTTCGAGATGAGGATCTTCTCTCCTAAATTCTAGACGCCACTAGAATCCCTCACAGAAATAGTGGACAGCAAACACTCACAAAACTCATCAATAGCATGCTCTAAAACCCTAGACAACTTCCCCTAGAAAAACCCTAGAACATACTAATACCAATGTGAGGCGTAAGTCTCGAGGCAGATCAAAGAGTAAATCTCAAAATAGAAAAGCTAAAACTCATAAAATTCCAAATAAAAATAAACATTTCAAATATATATAAACATCAATCTTAAATGTTAATCGAATGCGGATGTGCAAAATTTGTTAGAACATATGTTCGAACCATAATCTAACATGGTTCAAACATGGTTCGATCATGATCGAACCATATTAGATCATGGATTAAATAAGGTTTGGACATATATTCAAACATTATCTAAATCATGTTTGATCATGATTCGTACACAAGCTCAAACAATAGTGAAGCAATATGCATTCAAACACCTGTTCTAAGAAAAATTTTCAAGACATAAGCCTCAAATGACTTGAGGCATAAAGCCTCAAGGGGCATGCCTTAGATAAAAAAAAGCGTAAGCCTCACAGGGGGCAATGAGGTGCAAGCCTCAAAGAATTTTTCATGCGCCTCATAAAAAGACATGCCTTAAGACGCGTACACCTTGAACGGTTTTTTTTTTACAATCATAAAAGTTATTAAAAATATAAATTGTTTACTAAATTCATTCCATCATAGGGGACAATGAGGTGCACACCTCAAAAAAAAATTCGTGAGCCTCACAGAAAGACATGCCTCATAGGGTACAATGAGGTGTATGCTCAAATTTTTCATGTGCCTCATTGAAAGACATGCCTTGAGCCATACACCTAGAACATTTTTTTTTTAACTGCCCTATCAATCATAAAAGTTATTAAATATATAAATTGTGTTACTAAATTTCTTCCTTCTTTCTAAATTTAGATTTGACTTTTGTTAAGAAAGATAGAGGTAGACCCAAAAAGACTTGGTTAGAAAATATTATGAATGACCTCTTTATTAGATTTAAACCAGAATTTGACTTTTAATAGGACACAATGGAGAAAAAGGATTCATATAGCCGACCCCACGTAGTGGGATAAAGACTTGTTGTTGTTGTTGTTGTTGTTTCTATGAATTTCAATATGCAAATTCAAGAAGGAAGATGGAAAATGCTAAGGAAAGGGCTCGTCTCGGCCTCCTCCTAGACTGAAAATTATCATGGAAAACAAGTGAAAAAAAAAAGCTCAATGTATCGAATCAAACTCTAATCCCGATCATGTACATCAGTCCATGCAAATATGCAATCATATTGTGGCAATTCCATCCTAGCCATTCAAGTTTAATGAATCCTAAAATAAATGCTTCCTTCAGGTGATCTTCTATATAAAATTTGTTAATTTTTCTCTACACCCTCAGAACACTTATCCTAATCATCAATATATAACTTTGCAAAACTTATTATCCATAATGATCTTTGGAGTCCTCTCAAATTAACCTTATTCATGAGGCTAGGTTGTTCACATTTTTTATTGATGGTCATAACTATCTCATCAACAACAAGATAAATTTGAAACAAGGACTATATTTCAAATTTTTCATTCTATGATCCAAACTCAAATCTAAATCCTTCGTACTGATAATGATTGAAAATATTTTTATTCCAACCTTGAAAATTATTTCCTAGAAAACAAATATTCACAAAAATTCCTGCATTAATACCCTAAAAAAAGGGTTTACATAAAAAACGTATGCACATCCTGTCATCCTAAAAGATGTTCGGGTAATCATGTTCACAAGCAATGTTCCAAAACATTTATGCCGTAAAATCGTCATTACCACTGCTTATGTCATCAATAGCAAGACGCGCGAATTTTGAAATTTGAACACTTGAACAAATTCTCACATAAGCTTGCCTCAACAGACTCATTTCATCTATAACCCCAAGGTCTTGAATGGCCCTATTTTTATCCACATTCCACCACAACAACGAAATAAAATTAATACTAAAGCTAAAAAATTCTTTGTTTTTCCTTCGTTCAAATGCTATTATGACATCACCCAAAAATTTGTTTGCACCATGCAGGTAACTTTCTCTGAAAAATTAACTATTTTAACCCAAATTTCATATTCAAGGGGATGAATTCCAACTCCCCAGAAATATCAATTTAGTAGCAATAAGGACGTCGATATTTCCATTGCTCTTACTATATTTTACCCGAGCCTTCATTTATTCCTAACTAACCAGAGTATACTAACCATCTATTTTTGAAAACACTGAATATTTCCAAGATTACATACAAGCAGCAAAACAAAAAGGAATGAACTACTCAAGGTGACGATGCATTTCAAATGAAAAGGTTGAATAGATTATCCTTAGCTGAATAGAACCAAGAGAACCTCCACCCATTCCTAAAGTTACTTAACAGAGTAACGCCAATTCTTATGATGATATAAGCCTAAAGTTATTTAACCCAAAGCCTTTATCCCTATTATTGTAAATGACTTTAAATGATTAAAGACGTGAGCAAACTACATAATTTAGAAATAAAGTCAACACGTCCTAAAATGCTTCAAGATAAAACTTGAAGAGACCAAGCCAATAGCATCTTAAATTTCTGGTTTAAACATTAACTGAGAATGCATGTAAAGGGATATATAAGTAAAATCTAGAAAAATACCTTGCATCGTGTAGTATCTTTTTAGCAGAACAGAACACAGGTTCCACTTCAAAAAGAATCTCCTCCTCATCACGTGTTAATAATTCAGCATTTCGTTTCATGGAAGAGCTTCCAGTTGCATTCCTACCTCTCTGTTCATCTGATTTTACCCCTGGCCTAGAAGAAGAATTCTTCCAAGTTCTCCGTCCATCTGTTGAACCCCAGCCACGGGATTTCCATCCATCATTTCCATTATCAGCAGCTTTGGCCTCATCCAATTTGTCCACATTTGAAGACTCACCAATAGCTCTGGCATCATTGTTTTCTGTATTGTCTGTCCTTGCTTTCCCTTCCACATTCCCGGGACCTTCAGGTGGACTTCTCCAAATACTGCATGCAGCATCAGATGAGCCCCAAGCTCGAGATCCCCCAGCACTATTTTCATTATCTGTTGTTCTTTTTTCATTCCATTTATTTGTTTCCGAGGACCTTCCAAAACTAGCCTTTTCATAGTTTGGACTATTCCAGGTGCCAGCTTTACTTGTCCCGTCAGTGTTCCATGTAGGCTTCACAGGACTTTTACAACTTTCAGATTCACCTGTTGAAACCCAAGCACCATCTCTGTGATCAATTGCACTATTATTCTCATTCCATTTATCCGATAGTGAAGATCTTCCAAAGCCAGCATTTTCATGCTTATAATTATTGCCAGCTCCACCTTTACTCAACCAATCAGTGTTCCATATAGGCTTAGGACTACTGCAAGTTTTGGATGTATCTGCCAAACCCCAAGCTCTGTTAGCATTATCTGCTGTTCTAATCTCATTCCATTTACTCGATTCAGAGGATTTTTCAAAACTAACTTTTTCAGGGTTGTGACCATTCCGGGTGGCCTCTTTACTTGTCATATCTAAAGGTTTACAGGGATTGCTCCATGTTTTAGAACTTTCGGATTCACTTGTCAAGCCCCAGCCAGGGGATGACCAAGGCCCATCTGCTGCTTTATTTTCATTCCATTGGTTACCATTATTGGCACTTTCAGCGTTGCCATTATCCACAGAGGTTTTCTTTGAACTGCCCCATCCTCGTTGAACCTCAGGCATTTGACTTCCAAATTTAGTGGGTTCCTTTTCACTCGTAGTATCCCAACCCGACCAGGCACCATCTTTCTTAAGAGCTGATTGGGAATCAACTTCTTCTGGCTTTTTTCTACTATCCCATCCTTTCCAGTTATTTTGTTCAATTGCAGACTCTGAACCATTTTGCCAGTTTGATTTATCCCCATCCCCTCTCTCCAGTATTACATTGTTTTCAGAATGAAATAGAGAATCAGTTCCATCATCGCAAGTTTCCTTCCCAATCCGTATGCCTGGTACAGGAGAAGCACAGAACTCATATTCACTCTCATACATGAGATCATCAACGTCAACTTCCCTCTCAGTAGTTGCTGTCTGCACCAACTCCAGGAATTCATAGACATCCTTTTCTACATCCTTGTTAGCTTTAACCTGACAAATATTAGGAAACATCACCATATAACATATAATTCAACTCTCACAATAAGGGTTCTTTTGGTTAAGTCCCAAAAAATTTTTAGAAGATCAGCAGTGCAATTCTAACCTGTTGTCTATCCCAGAAAACTTTGAAACAAGAACCAGTACCAACTGCTACATGCTTGCCCCATAAACATGAGGAAACTATACTAGTCAGTGTATCTGTATGACATTTTTGGGCTGCTCTCTCAAAACATTTTATCGGAGTCTGCAAAATATAAACGGATAACAATTAAAATGCTTTCCTTTGGTCCAATACAGATAAGATTCACAAGCTAAAAAGTAAACTATGCAAAAATAGACTTCTTACAAATAAAGTTGCTTCAGTAAATGGCATTTGAATTTTCAAGGAGCGTAGAAGTTTCTTGAAGCCACTGTTATTAAAACCAAGAAAGTTTCCTGTGCATGTCATGCTATTTGCAACTAGAATAAGATGCTCTTTAAGTACTCCTTTCGCAACCATCTTAATTGATGCCGATAGGCGCTGAGAAACCAATGTTACAAGATACCGATGAAATCTAGATGTTAAATATTTGCATACAACTTAGTGATGAACATTGGATAATCAGCGCTCATCTATATCAAAAAGCTTAATGTTAATGAGCCAATGAAAACATAATGGTGAGAACTCCTGAGCCAATTCATGAACAATAAGGAGATAAGCACATCAAAGTTTCTGATTAAATTTAATTTACGAACAAAAGTTGTAAGCAATAGAGGAATCCAATAAAATTTATAAAAAGCACTAAAAACACAAACATGAGAATGTAAGAACGGAACTCACCAGAACCGATTGCTCAAAACTACAAGATATGCCGAGAAGGTGTTCAACCTGCTTGATGCCATAGGGTATAGATCGCCTCATATCTATGAGGTGCATAACAGGTAAGCAAGCATCCAAAACAGTTCTCCATGCATCACCACTTTGCCGAGCAAAACTTTTTTCAATAACAACTTCAATGGCTAATTCGCCCTTCATTGGTCTCCGATCTCTCACCGAAGAAGTGGTCGTTGGTTCAATCCAAATGATATTAGCCAAATCAACTCTAGAATCACCTAGGGTATCATTAAAGAAACATATACAATGTAAGACTACTCCAATTTTCAAAAACTTTAAAAAAGAAAACAAAATAGTACATTTAAATAGAAACATCATGAAATTTAGTAAAAAATTTATTGAGGCCAGATTTATAAGATTAAACAGAAACAAACTACTCTTAAAAGAAAAAAAAAGAGCTATCTTTAAAATCCATAACAGCAATGAAGCCATCATGAAAATTGAGGGCTTATCAAAAAATTTTTGTGGCCATGCATGCCCACCCTAACCTGATATGTCCATGAAAATTGATGCTTGAACATAATAACTGTTCAATATTTAATTAATTTTAACTCAAACTAATTTACACTGAGTTGAGGATTGCAACTTAAAATAGCATGAATCAAGCCAAAATCAAACTACTATATATATATATATATATATAGTTGAATAGATAGTACAAGAACAATCCTGCAAGAAGAGTCAGAGGCCCTTACTCAAATCTACTTATAGTTTGCTAACAGTCTTAGAAAAGCTTTTTCGAGCTCATTTCACAAGAGGAAGATCCTCAAATAAAACATTTTTCTGATGGTGGAGTACACCATAGAAGAAAGGTCAAAACCAGCGCTACTTTGCTTTATGGAGTTATTCTTTTGTTTCATGCATCAAGGTAGGGTGTTGGATCTAAGTCGAAGGTCTACACTCCAAGACCAAGCGCATTCCCCGCCAACCAAAATATACTAAATTAGATCAAATAATGAGTATGGTGTTATGCTTCCAACAACCATTTTTTCAAATATCATCGTCATGACCATCTTTTGCATTCTAATTGTATTGTATACAATACTTCTCATTCAACAAAGAAGGATAAAGATGTTTTCATCTTCCTCAACCAGCTACATCCCATTTTATTTATTTTTCTTTATCTTCTAAGTTTCCAACCTTTCTGAATGAAGTGCCAGGATAATCCCAGACAACTTCAATTTCGCATGGAAAAATCAAAATTTTCCCAATTAAAATTACTTAAATTTTCTTAATGCTATTATCCATTCTATTGATTCTCTGCAAGAAAGAACCAACGCAAATATTATTAACCATATAATAGAACTGAGCGGGGCTAATCCATTAAAATTGGGAACCTACAGTTGCTGGAAACTCTAGAAACCCTCATTTCCCAAAGAGATTGTATTTAATTTCTTTCTAGGTTGTTTTGAAAAATATTGATCATTAATCTTCATGCCAGTCTTTTCACTTCATAGTGTTGTATACAATACTTCTCATTTGATTGAGAAACATGAAGTTATTTTTTGCTTTCATCAACCATTTTCATTCCATTTGATTTCATTTGATTGGTATTTATTGAGCCATTCAAAGTTCTTTTAGCTGGATTTGGGAGATATTGGTTCCATTGAAATTGTTTTGGTTTATTCACTTATATGGGCAATGTTGCTAGAAATATTTCCCTTCATCAAACAGGTGTTCCTATTTATCAAATGAGTCAAAAAGGATTTACAACTTGTGTGATGTGCAATTCACAACCAGAGGACGACACCAATATTTTCCTCCACAGTAGTTCTATAACAAAATTTGAAGGAGACTTCACTAACTTTCTGGTGAAAATAGGGGTGCTATTTTTTAGATAAATCTTTTTTTTTTTTTTTTTTAGAAGGGATTTGTATGTCAAAAAAGAAGCAAAAGATATCTAGGATTTTTTCCATCACATATATGGAATATTTGGAAGGGGAACAACAAATGTTTCCCCAATCACAACAAAAAGAAAAAAAAGAAACATAAGGTACAATTATCCTAAGAAAAATTTTGGATGAATTATAGTCTTGAGGTGCAATACATTACCAATAAAAGATATATTAATCTTCATGATAAGCTTTTCGATTTGCATCACAATAAAGTCTGATCCTTGAAATACATTACTAATAAAAGAGGGGATATTAATCTTTACAATAAGCCTTTAAATTTGACTCAAGATACAAGTTGATCCTTAAGTTTTTTTCATTCAATTTTTGTAGTTATCCTCTATGTTTTCTCTATGCAATTTTGTAGCACCGTATATGTACTTTTTCTTCCTTTTAGATGCAAAGAGGGATCACTTGGTTATTTAGTCCAAAAGAATTTGATGAACTATTGAGACTATAATACTGAGGGTGCCAAAATACAATTACAAGAAATGTAACTTTATCATAGCACAGACACAACATGCATTACTGTTACGTCTACCTGCATTGAATTACATTATGAAAACAATAGTCTAACAAATTGCCAAACTAAGGAGAGAACTTTGCTGAAGATAAAATTACTAGCCTCATATCAACATTCATTATCAACAAGAAAATTATAAGAAATTGTAACATCTTGCGTCTCTAAGAAGTTTCAAGATGCAGCCAATGAAAAAGAAACAACAAGACAACAAAATGCTTTTAGGATATTTGAAATCGAAATTTCAGATGAAAGGATAAGCAACATAACTCAAAAATGCAAATAATAGAAACATCTAAGCATAGCTGGATATATTAACAATATTTTTTTACTATTACATCTTACCTTTAATAACTGTTTCCAGTAACATAGGGCAGATAACATTTGCCATAATGTGAATTACTCTATCCAGAGATTCATCAGATATTTTACCACCTCTATCAAAGTAGTAGAACTGCAAACACGGAACACTAGACAAATTTGCATCATCTGAGTGCTGACAGCATTCACTGTAAAAACAAGGAGTACATTAGTAAAGCTCTAGGCTTCTTTTGACAGTATTGTTTACAGTAAAACTGTTGAAGAAAAATAGCTTTCAGATTTTTCACATGACAAGCTTTCTGTAGCGTAGTTGTAAAAGCAGCTTCTAGTTGCGCATAAAGAGCTGTGGTAAATTTTGCAGCATCTCTCACCAAAATAAACACCCACCTGTTTTTGGATAGTGTATTCTACCACAAAGCAACTAGGAAGCCCAACAAAACAAGCATTAAGCCTCAAGAGAAAGGAATAAATTAAGAGAGATGACTGTCCAATCAAACAAGAGAAAATGTCCCGTTTACAGCATTTTAAGAAGTGAATGGAGGCCACTCTGCCTTTTCCATCACAAAACAACTCTTACAAGATTTAGGAGAAGTTGCAAACTAAATCATGGGGGAGAAAGATAAACAATTGCTGTAAGAACCGGTTTTACAGGTTCAATACCTAATTCAAGCACATGCAAGCAGGATCGTGTGGACGAGCGGGCCACGAAGAAAAGCGAGCGCAGCCAGTGGGTTTGATTGAGCAAGCAAACGAAGTAGATATTCAGAAATGAAAAGCAACGACTCCTCGCAGAGGATAACTACGATTTGTTCACTCCATTTGAGCAAATGAATGACAGCCGAGAGGAAGAAGGAAGAAAATAGAGGGAAAGAGAATGGAAGAGAGCGGGAGAAAAATGAGAAACCTGCGACTAAGCCAGCAGAGGGGGAGTCATTTGCGTGCAGTTTAGGGCTTGGAGAGGAGGAAGAAAGATAAGTTTTGTTATTATTTCATTACAAATATATATATATATATATATTAGAGAATTCAACTAAGAGAGACTTTTCCTCATAAGCCCACATTTGGATCAAAACCAGCCAAAACTAATCTCTATTGCTTTCAATTGTTCTTTTCAAACATTGATATTGAAGTTGACGCGTATGCAATAGACTGTGGGATGTAGATGCACATTCTAATACGTGTGCTTGTATGCTCTGTAAAATGTGCATGTCCATGTTCATTATAAGCATAATTAGGGATAGGCATATATGCGTCTGAAAAAGGGAGAGATGATGAAAAAACTCTATATACATGAAATCATGGACTTACTGCAAAGGGAAACTTTTAGAGACTTGCAGTTCTACAATCAAGAACATTAAAAGCACACATAAGATGGGCACTACTAAATTGTTATCACTATGCAACTTCTACAGAGTTATAGCTTGTAGACCAGAGAATATTTAGGGTTAGAATTTGGAGAAGACGAAACCCAAAGAAAAAAAAAAGGTGCTTAATAAATTTATAACCTGGTTGTTAAAACAATTCCTTTAAACAAGAAAGAGAGAGGTCCTTTCTTCTTCTGACGGGAAGATAAAATCTCTTGACACTTCAGAAGAATTTCCTCTGTTCTCTTATTCCATGCTTTCAACATCCCCTGTCAGATGAAAGAGAGAAATACTTCTCATAGACAAATACTCCATAATCTGAACAGATGCAATTTGCAGGAACTGTCTAAATACAACATTAAAGACAAAAGTTGAAAAAGCGCACCCTATCAAGATGAATATGGCCAACAAGGCCGGAAACTGCTTCCAAACTATCACAAGCAACCATATTTTTCTTGTACCTAGAAATATTTTAGGGTTTAGTTTATGAATTACAAAACTAGCTTCATGATTTAGACAGCAGGACTTCAAGATGAACAAATGTAGAATGCAAAACAAAGGGATGAAACAGACTCAAAATCACAGAAAACGGCATTTACCAATTTGTGAGGAACGAATCAAAAGAGTTTATAATATCTCAACATGTGGAAATGCGCCCAAGAAAAAACATAAAATTATATATTTTTTTAATATTAAGAAAAGTAAAAAAGGGGCAATTACTCTAGACGTGCATTTCACATTCACAGTAAACATTTTCAGTTGAAAGAATGCATTTTAAGAAAAACAAAGAGATCGTGTACACTTAAGAAACAAATAGCCTTATTTTCAATTAATTTGGATTCTGAGAAAGTGATTCCAACATTTTCCTTGAAGATTACCCAAAGATAAAAACAAATGAACAGTGATATTGATATTAGTTTAAATCGAAATGCCCTGGTGACAGCACTTCCATTCAGTGAAACAATTTTATTTTAACTTTCTAACTTCGTACTTTGACCTCTTTTTTTCTGTTGGAGAATCTAAATATGGTATGTCCCTACGTAAAAATGTAAAACAGGTAAAGGCTTGGATACAGATGCACTGTTATTTGATAAGAAAAAAGCATGTTAACACTTTCCTACAGTACTTCAGAAAAAATCTAATTCTCTACAGAATGGAAATCAAGAATAAGGTCTTCTGAAAAAATTGTTTTTCAGGCTTATTTTATGAACGGGGATGGAATGCATAAACCAGGCTTAAAATGAAATTAGCCAAGAACTAAACTAATTGTCAAAAGAATATATGGGCCTCTGGATAAAAATATTATAATCATTCAGTGATGAGTTATTTGAAACAAATCCCAATGAAACTGATTAGCTTCAAAAAGGTCATTTAAGCTCGCCAGCAAACTCCAAAGGAGGCAACGATTAACACAAGACATTCATGAAATAAATTCCAAAATTTGCTAAATTCTTCACAAAAGAAATATAGCCACACAAATGACTTAGAAGGCATTCTTGTGGGGAAAAAAGATGAAAAAAAAAAAACGAATGAGAAAATGTTTTCAAATTTCAAATAAATTGTACATTATTAAGAATTGGTGGAATGAGAATTTTTGAGAAAAAACAAAAAAGGGTTGAGAAAATTTCATAGTTACTCAATAGAGAATTCAGATGCACAGTCCCTCAAGGTAAACTTCTTCAAGCAATCCTGAACTGCAAATGCAGCCATTTCCTTGCAGAATTTTTTACCGCAGAGACAGTCATTCAAATATAGAACCACACGGCGATCATTGAATACATTTTGGTAGCCCACTTTGCTAAGTAGTATTTCCTACAAAACCAGTAAGAGAATGTCTTCAGAGAGAATGACTCTGGAGAAGGAAAACTAGAACATGAAAACAGTGGCAACTTAAATGCCATAATCAAGTGTTCACCTTCATCAATTCCCATGATGAATTTGTACTGAGAGAAGAATCCAGGACAGCTTTATAAGCAGGGTTAGATATTGCAGTTGCAGCCAACACCCCAACTGGTTCACCAGCAAGATTGTCAGTCAAAGCACCAATACCATCCTTTACTCTATATTGAAATTGAATAACAGAATTTCGGCAAACATTCCTCACAGTCCCATCATAACAAACCACAGCATCACGAAGAATTGCCATTAGATTCTTAAACAGCGTTCCTGGCTCTGTCAACCCTCTAGAGGATCGTACTACAACTTCTCTTGTAGAAATAGAATGGACTAAATCTTCATATGGATTTAAACCGCCAAAAAAAGAACTCTTAACCAGACCACAGGCCTCAGATGGTACACCAACTCCATCAACTGAATGTTTTCCCAAGTAATATGAAAATACATCCTGAACTAGGGTCTTCGAGTACAATTTACCTCTCTCAAATAGTTCAAGCCCTAGAAAGCCTACCTGTTGCAGAACTTTGGAGATTGATGACTCACTCTTCGAATCAATCAAAGTACCAACCGATGAAGTCTTTAGAATAAAATTTGTAATGGGTGATTTAAGGATTTTGAGGTGATCCTCAACTCGCAAGTCCTGAACTTGTTGAAAAGATGATCGGGGTTTGCTGAGCAAACACGAAATCTCCTGTAATTTGTCATGCATATCTGCAAGGATATCCATGGGAACATCAAAATCCTGCAAATTGATACTGAAACCATGTACATTTAACATCTCCATAAGTAGAGGTTGCACAGTGTTCAAAAATATAAGCCCCTCTTTGGAACCTTTAAATGCCAAAACAGAAGAAACCATATCAACCAGCATCGACTGGATCAAGTCTTTTTTAAAATCAATATGCAGTATTTCGCTACCACTGATCAAATGCCTGTCACCAGAACAATCAAAGGAGACAGGAAATGCACATTGTAATACCTGAAAAATAGTCCAAAATGGGCCACAATTATGAGCCTTTACTAAAAAAGGTGGTGGCAAGCCCCGGGGAACAAACATGGATAACTGCTGAGCTCTCATTTTGGTCAGCAGACAGGTATTGGATATCAGCCTCAGTGACAACAACGAGTCCTGAACAAACTGCATGTTTAGCAAATCATTATGAGAGCTCAGAAGTTGCTTTTCAACACTAAATAACTCAATAGCTTCAGCTTTGGCGGCAAGTGACTGCGGATAAAATATGTGCACACAATCACCATCAAAGTCAGCTCCCAGGGGGGAACAAACCAGTGGATTGATTTTAACAACATTTTCATCATGAAGTGACACGAAGAAAGCTTGGACAGAGTGCTTATGCGTACTAGGAGGCCTATTAAGGAAAACCACATCACCATCCATGATCCTACGACAAACAATTTGGCCAATTTTTAGCCTTACATGTCCTTCAGCGCTAGTTTCTATAGAGAACTTTGTCTCCCCATCCGTATAGGCCACACATAACCTATCATTTACCATCTTCTGCAAACGCTCCAGGTTATAGACTGACACTCGCTCCTCAAAGGTAACCTTTCTAGCAACTTCAGCTGGTAATCCTATAACATCAATTCCCATATAGGGATCACCAGTGATTACACTTCGAGATGAAAAGCCAGATCCTTTACTGATAAATAATGTTCTCATCTTCTCAAGCCATTGTTTTGAAGAATTTTGAGCGACCTCGTTAATCTTTAACTTGCCATTTATGTCATGAGGCACCTTTTAACATAAAAGAGTAGTAGGGATATATTAAGAAAAAGACCATTAGAATTGAAAGTAAAAAACGGCTTCCAAAAAAAAAATACATGTGTTCAAAAACAGAAAGATCTCATTCTGTATCTTCATTCACCTTCGCAACACCCCTGAGATTCAAATACCGTGCAACAGTTGCCTGCAGGTTGCTTAAGTCACTTTCTGGAGCTTCAATACTAGAAGAATGATTTGTCTTGATTTTCTCAATGCTAGTAAAAATTCTTCTAAGTAAATTTTTTGAGTTGTCCTGCAAAGATATTGCGAAATAAAATTGGATAACCAATAGAAGCCAAACAAACAACCTATACCTAACAGCAAGTTTAGAATTTCTCTCAAAACGCTTACAGACGACATAATTATCTTGCCATCCGAAATCAGTGGCATGGATAAGCAGTTTGGAGGTACTGAAAGATATTGAATAATGAAACCAATCTGTGGGAAGAATCCTTTTGCAAATAGCCTTTTCCTGGTTTCTTCTGGTATCTCATTCAAAATACGGATAACCTTGAACAAGGGAAAAAAATAACAATGGAGATCCTCTAAGAATATGTTTACATGGTGAAAAACGAAATATCATGACAAGGGATAACACGCCAGTGTTGAAAATTTTATCACTTTTTAAAAGAATTCATATAAGATGAAATGCGAACAGGGCAAAAGCCCGTTGAAAGGCTGGTAAGGATTTTGCTAAAGTAATAGAAGAAGAGGAAGAAGGCAATAATAGTTTTCTCATATGCAAGCAACTACAGGTGAGGAGCCTGGAAGGTTAAATAACAAATCAAATAATACTCCACGATAATCCAGGAACTTTGAGGCAATCTCTGCCACGATAATAAACAAATTACAAGTGTCCCAATCGTCTAACTTCATCCAAAAAGAGTAATTTGCAAAGTAATAGAAAAGGCCATTCTCGTGTAACTATGTTTTTGGAAATTCCTTTCCCTCACCTAGAGTGCTTTCCTCATTATATAGAGAGGAATAAGTATATGATACCAGCAAATATCTCAATTAGATCTAGCCTAACAAGGAATCTATAATAATATTCATAAAACATAGTTATAGATAAACTAATTAATCACATAGATTTATAGCCATAATTAACAGAAGGATAACTTGGCAAATCAAGCTAATATTTCCCCTCAAATTGACACTGCATTTCAAGAAGCATTAATTTTTCCACAAGAAACTAACGCCATTGTCACCTTCATAAACATGTCTATACATACACTTAGATAAATAAGGTTCCCTTGGACAATATAACCTACCTACTTACCTATAATGATCTTTCGGTCAGATTAGGTCGACTATCTCATCTGACTAACTAAACTAGGGTCCATGAAAAATAAGGATGGCAGATTCAATAGATCTCGATCAAGTTATTCATCACTCCCCCACCATCCATTTTAGACTAACGATGATAAACTTCACTCAATCCTAAAGACCAAAATCATTGCAATTATATGGTAAGCACGTTATGCTTAATAACTAACCTTAATAAAAAGTTTTCTCTCGTCAGGGAGAGGTAATTGATCATAAGGATGGCAGAATCAATAGATCTCGATCAAGTTCTTCATCACTCCCCCACCATCCATTTTAGACTAACGATGATAAACTTCACTCAATCCTAAAGACCAAAATCATTGCAATTATATGGTAAGCACATTATGCCAAATAACTAACCTTAATAGAAAGTTTTCCCTCTTCACTACGAGAGAGGTAATTGATCATAAGGACTTAACACCTATAAGAAATCAAGAATCAAATCAAAAAATTCTCACAAAAAAATGGCAAAATCTCTGGATGGTGTCTTATCTACAATCTAATTTGTCTTCTAAGTTTTTAGACATAACACTTACTCTTTCAACAATGCCGCCTGTGAATATTTGCAGCCACGGACTTATACAAAGAAAGATGATTTTTACTCTTCCATGATATTGAAAAGTCCAACAAGAAACATGCATCACCTTGTAACCATCAAGGCACCCAACCAACATCACTATACCACAGGAAGATGATAAAAAGAATATATTGGAAAGAACAATCCATGACTTGGTGTGCCAATAAGAAATGGAATAATCGATGACAGGCAACTAAATGTAAATGACAAGGATTCAGCATAAATTTACTAACATGCAACACCAGGAAGAAAATATCATGTCAAGTTATTGTCAAAAAATAATGGGATCAACAAGAATATCACATTCCTCACTACAATACTTCGAGTTTACTTTTGAGATAGTATTTATAAGGGAAGTATTTTGGAGACTAGCCAAAGTAACTAAATACTGTGTTTATTTATGTTGGTTAAAAAAGTAAAAAGAGGAATTAGTGTGAACTTTCAAACCTAAGAAGTAAGAGCGCCAAGATTCTTCACATAAAACATAGCATGAAGATATTTTAACCTCAGAATCAGATATTAAAACTTTGATGTTGCATGAAAACTAAGTTGCAACATACACTGCAAATTTTTTAAATACAATTAGTACTTCAGATTTCTAGCAAAAATAATAAACCCTAGCAAGCTTGTGGTAATCATCCACAAATGCCACAAAATATTTATAGTTTGCATCTGATATAATAAGAGTAATACCCTATGCATACATCACTATGAATAAAGTCAAAACAGTTTTCATCCTATTTGCACTGCAATGAAAAAGGAAGGAGCTTTCTTTTCCCGATGGTATATGTAAAACAATAATAAAAAAAAAGATGATAAAAGAATTGATGTTTATAGCCCAACAAGCCATAATCCATAAAATGCAATAAAATAGTAGAATTTGAATGACATAATCGTTAATTCCATAAGTTATCACTTTAATTTTATTTACTAAAATACAAAATAGCAAAAAAACTTCATAAATAGAAGAATGAAAAAGAAATAATCATCCGCTTTAGGTCCCTTCATGAATACTTTACCCATTATATGATCCTGCTTATTGCAACAATCACCAAAAAAATCTATCATAGTCATTATCAATCAATTTTTTTATAGGAAATACTTAAGATAGGAAATACTTGAATATTTCAAGTAAACCATAACAAGATTGACGAAAACAGCAGGAAAACTTCACAAATCTAATGAAATTCAAGCAAAAACAGTAATTTGTATTCTAGAAATCAAAACAACAGAAGAAATAAAGCAACATATAATTCGAGAGGAGGATCGTTCTCTCTCAATCCCTAGACGAATCTAGGGCCCAAGACACCTCAAACAAGAACTCCAAAATCAGCCACAAAACAAAGCATAACCCTAACCCTAATCCCCTCTTCCTATTTAAAGCATACAATAACCTCCTTAGGTCTAGCCGCCCCTCCCTCTCCCTTCCTAATTGATTTATTGGGTGGGGCCCACCCCATGATTGGGCGGCAAATTCAAGAGGGCAGACCACCTCTTGTAAACATGAACTGGCCCATTGCTTCCAATAGGGATCAGTCTAACAATACCCCACTCCCAAAAAATCACCTTATACTCAAAGTGAATGGAGAATGATGATTCACCATTTCATAAGGATCCCATGTGGTGTCATAGTCTGGGAGGCTCTTTCATTTAATCAATCACTTCCTTAGCTCCATCTTCTCTCTGACGAACCCCCGTCAACTCCAAGGCCTCTAAAATCACCTCTAAATCCTCTGCCAGCGTCAATGGTAACTCAGAACTTGCTGCATGATTTCCAATTGCCCTCCTTAATTGGGATACATGGAACACTGGATGTATAATCGCTGTTGGTGGTACTTTCAGCCAATATACCACAGCTCCAATCCTTTCTACTACCTCATATGGCCCAAAGTACCTTGGGGCAAGCTTCTCATTTTTCTTGTTAGCGACTGTCTTCTGCCTGTAGCGTCGAAGCTTCAAGAACACCCCCTCTCCTACCTTGAATTGAATGTTCTTGCTATACACGTTCGCCTGTTTCTTCATAATTTTTTGAGCTCTCGTCAGATGCCCCTTCAATTCTTCCAACACAATGTCCCTCTCCTCCAAATACTCCTCCACTAAAGAAATTGGGGTGCTACTATGCCCAAAATGTACCAAGTGAGGAGGATCCCTTCCATACAATACTTTGAATGGGGAAGCAGAATGGTAAAAAGTGTTGTACTAATATTATGCCCATGCCAGCCACTTGCCCACAACTTGGGTGTCTCCGACATAAAGCATCGAAGGTAGGTTTCCATACTCCTGTTGACTATCTCGGTCTAACCATCTATATGTGGGTAATAGGAGGTGCTTCTTTTCAGTGTTGACCCCTGTAATCTGAACAGCTCCCTCCATAAATGGATGAGGAACACCTTATCCCTGTCAGATACTATCGACTCCGATAACCCGTGCAATCTAACCACCTCCCTGATGAAAACTGACACCACTGTTATTGTTGTGTATGGATGTTGTAGGGGAATGAAATGGACATACTTACTCAATATGTTTACTACCATCAGAATCACTGTGAACCCTTCTGATCAAGGTAATATATCTATGAAATCCATGAAAATCTCCTCCCACACCCAACCTGGTAGAGCCAAAGGATGTAGTAATCCTCCTAAAGACATGGTCGTGTACTTGTTCCTATGAGGTCTCACATCTAGCTACAATCTCCTCCACATCCTTATGCATCCCCTTCCAATACAGCTCTATGGAAAGTCTCCTGTACATCTTCTATACCCCTGAATGACCCCCCACAGTGCTCCCATGAAACTCCTGCAACAGACGTGGGATATGTACTAATGTCATAAGCATCACAAACCTCCCCTGGTAAAAAAGCCTCTCTCCCTCCAACAAATTCCCTAGATGGATACTCTCTTCCTTCAACAAATTAGCCCGAAACTTTCCCAAATCGTCATCCCGTGCACTCTCATCCTTAATGGCCTCCCACTGCAGCAACAATGGTATCAATACTGCCATCGCTTGTAACTCCCCCATACATCGATATAAGGCATTTGCCGCCTTATTTTCTACTCACAGTCTATACATGATCTCAAAATCATACCCCAGCAACTTGGACAACCATCTCTAGTGCTCCTCAATCACCATCCTCTACTCCAACAAGTACTTCAAGCTCTTGTTTGTCCTAACAATGAAATGTTAACCCAATAAGTAGAGCCGCCGTTTGAATTTGATTTTCCCTCTAACGAAATTCAGAATTCGTAGTTCTTACCACCGATTCATTTGTCTCTGATGCTGTCGTTTGAATTTGATTTTCCAACAGCTTTTTCACCGTCGCATGAAGATCGAAAATTGTCTTCTATGAAAATTTTGGTGTTAATTGGGATACATGGCTCAACTCCCCTTCAAGGCGTTCCTCCAATACATCTACCTTCTTGGCCACCATCAACACCAAAATTTTTGTAGGTTCAAAAAATATGGATATTGATCCAAAAAACAACAAAAACCCTTCAACCAAAAAACAGCCACTGAAATTATATACAACAACCCACAAACGGTCCCAAAATCTGCTATGATACCAATTTAATAGGAAATACTTGAATATTTCAAGAAAACCCTAACAAGATTGACGAAAACAGCGGTAAAACTTCACAAATCTAATAGAATTCAAGCAAAAACATTAGTTTTAATTGTAGAAATCAAACCAACGGAAGAAATAAAGCAAGATACATTTGATCTTCAATTCGAGAGGAGGATTATTCTCTCCCAATCCTTATACGAATCATGGGCCAAACACACCACGAACAAGAACTCTGAAATCAGCCACAAAACAAAGCATAACCCTAACCCCCTAATCCCCTCTCCCTATTTAAAGCATACAATCACCTCCTTATGTCTAGCAGCCCTTCCCTCTCCCTACCTGATTGATTTATTTGGGTGGGGCCCACCCCATGATTGGGCGGCGAGCGCAGACCAGCTATGGTCCGCCCCTTGTAAACCTCCTGAACCGGCCCCTTGCCAAGGGCCGGTTGGACTGGTCTAACATTTTCCTACTTAAATAAGATTAGCATAAAGATTAAGAGCAACTATTGCATCTTCAATGAAGAATTAGTATCCCCAATTCAATCATTAGGTAATTGATTATTATTAGTAATCTAAATAGAAGATGATTCATGACATAATTAAATATTGCGAGCAGATAAGATTAACTAATCATATGTTTATATGCGCCTAAATGCATAAGCCAAGATGAAGGATGTTAAGCAATCATACCACGTAACCATTAGACTAATAGGGCTTTAATGATCATATGTTGAACTATTTCAAGAGTAATACCTATTTTATACACAGCTGTTAAACCAAAAGAATAATCAACAACAACAAAAAAACTTGTTTGCCATTCCATTGTCAATTCTGAGGAGTATGGCAATCCTTAATAATATGCACAAGCTTTTTACAATACTTACAAAACTAAATTCTGAGCATGGAAGTAAAATAAATACCACAACTCTCTGTTTAAAATTGCGCAATAAGAGGCGCGCCTCTGCGCAATTTGACCCAAAACCGCCTCAAGGCTTACGCAATTCCTCTCCTGGCAGAGGCGTGCGCCTCACTTGGACTGAGGCGCGCCTCAGAGGCGCAATTGCGCAATTCTGGCTGAGGCGTACGCCTCAAATATATGCTCAAAACCGCTCGGTACCGCTCAGTATATGCTCGGTACCGCTCAGCATATGCTCGGTATAGCTAGGTATTTGCTCGGTACTGCTAGGTACATGCTCGGTACCGCTTAGTATATGCTCGGTACAGCTATGTATTTGCTCGGTACTGCTAGGTACATGCTCGGTACCGCTCAGTACCGTTAGGTGCATGCTCGAACCCCGCCAGGGGGCAACGCCCCCTTGAACCCCCAGCAGTCCGGCATATTATTCTATTCATCATCTTTAGTAATAGTTGTTAGTGTTAGTCTACTTCTTCATGAGTGCATGTTTTGATTGGAAGACATTGGACTTTATAGGAGGAAGGGGTGAGAAGATTCCCTTGAAGACCCATTTAGTGATGAGATATGATTAGATTATATATGTTCTTTCTTAATTATACTTTGGGAGTTTTGATAGACTAATATTTTGTGGTTTTGTACTTTGGGACATGATTTTATTGCATCTATTTTCTTACTTTCCCCTAATTTTAATTGTCATTTAGATGTTTTTATTATATGATAGAATCTTACTATTTTTTAATTGCTAAAACCTTTAAATTCTCATTTACGCAATTCTTCGTCGGTGAGGCTTACGCCTCACACCGCCTCGAGGCTTATTTACGCAATTTTAAACCTTGCCACAACTAGCAAGTAGAATGAGATTTCAACTAAGGTATAAGTAAAAAAAATAACGAAGCAAAAAACAGCAGGTTTCAATAGAACCACAGGTATATTTGCCAAACTGACTATCAAGTCATGGTTGAACAACTGACAGAAATCCACTTAAATTTTTAATATGTGGACATTGGAGTTTAATAGAAAGTCCAAAACAAGTTGGGAGTAGTACCTCAAGAGGATGAAGAGTCTGAAATGGATTTGCATCATGGTGAAATCCAAATTTATCTAAAAAATTCCAAAAACCTTCTCGGAGTCTATTTCGAGCAGAAACCCTCAATTCCAAGCAAACTGCTCCATCAGTTTTGTTAACTTCATTAACTGAAAAAGGTTCAATCTCCTGAAATATACAAGGAAAAGCAACACGCTGACAACAAAAGAAGAAAGCTTTAAAAGCTAAAGAAAGAATATCAAGAAAATCTGTTTAAACTGTCAAATTTCAAGAGATATTTAGTGCCAACAGATCATGTAAATTTTACAGTAACTGTACCAAAAAAACTGGTAAATATTATCATTACATTTAATTAACTTTCTGATTTCTTAAAAGTATAGCTAAGGAATGAAAATATCATAACTGGGGATTTACCCGACAATAAGTACAAGATGCAATGGAGATTTTTTCCTTTCCTGTTTCACATTTAACCTGAAAGATATGAACAGATTATAAGACAATGGCCCCAATTGAAATATAATTAGAAAGCAGAGTGAATAAGTTAATTTCATGCAAGATGCAAACTGATGAATGCACGATATCTATGACCAGTACAATGCAGGCCAACTTTCCAACAAAACTACAGGTCACATCAGCTACATCATTTAACATCATTCATCTAGTATCCAACCTAATGGTGGACACGAGACTACTGTTTTTCCAACCGAAACCAGAAATTTTCTGTAATGTGTGAAAGAACATGATGTTGAACTAGGATGTTTGGCAACACTTGAATTTCCCTAAAAAATAAAAACATCTATATCATGCAATGAGACTTTCTTCTTTACAACCTCATCATTCACTCATCAATAAAATGAGCGCATGATAGCAATTACAACAATAGATGTGGAGTTGATTCATTAAGATTAATTTTGATCGAGAAAGCCAAAACTTCTAGTGCATCATATGGAATATGGCCACCAAACAAACAGAACAAATCCACATGTCAACCTGTGACCGGTCTATCTAACATGAATTCGACGTCATTCTTGTAAAATATCATGTTCCTAACGTACTATCCTGATTTTGTTCTGAGTATGAAATTAAATTTTGCCTTATAATTAAGCACCAGTCTCTGTGGAAAAATAACTGTAGTCCTATGCCATCACATGCATGGCAAAATTGAAATCATTATTCTCAAAACTTCAAAACTAAGAGAGAAGTGCAGAACGTTGCATCTCCATTTTGTTTGAGGAACACTGCTCTACACCCCTTGCAACTCTGCCATCAAGAATCCCAGTAAACCAACTTACACTAGCACTCCCATGCCAGTATTTACAACAAACCTACAAGACCTCGGTTTTCAAGTTTAGGAGAAGATGCTTAATGTCCCTTATCTCTTCATTTGTGGATAACTTCCAGTTTAAAAGTTAACTGTAAAACCCGAAAATTTTCATTTTAGACCTCGCACGTTTTTCAAAGGGCCGCGACGAAATGTAAGAAAAAATTTTAACGTTAACGGAATTCAACGGAAATAATTTTAGAAAATCCCACGCAAAATTCTGATCAAATTGATATATAAGACTTATAGTTAATTTGGAATATCTTAAGAGATAAAAATTTTAAAAGTTTCATAATACCGATTTTGCCCCTAATCAATTGAACTACCATAATTACTTAAGCAAGGGCATTATGGACTTTTGTAAAACCTCATTTCCTTATTTTTTCTACCCGAACCCCTTCTCTCATTTCATTCGCAAGATACCCGAACTGAGGGGAAGAAAGGGGCGGACGGGACGGGCGGACTTCTATTCTGCGAGGGCTCTCCGGCGACAATTTTTCGGCGAAGAAATTAGTCCGAATCAAAGAGGACGAAGAGAGGAACATTCAGGTACGATTATTTTTAAATGAAACTTCCTAAATCTCAAGTTATTTGAGATTGAAATTCTAGGGTTTTCCTAAAAAACATTTTTCTCCCAAAATCTTTTTACGAAACTTTTAAGGAATATTTAGAGGAACATTTTAATGGTAAAATTTAAGAAATTGAAGAAATTTTTGGAGATTTAAAATTAGGATTTTTGACCTAAAGTTTAATTTCGTATAATACCTTTACGAAAATGATTTCTAAGGATTTTGGGAATAATTTTAAAGCAAAAATTTTGATTTTTAGTGAAAAACTCATTTTGTAATTTTCCTAATTTAATTAATCCAAAAATTAATAATATAACTATAATTATGTGTTTAGGAATATTTTTAGAGCATTACATTGATAAAATTGTGACTTATGACTTTCCAAAAATTTAGATTTAATTTAAATTAATTTAATTAAAAATTCATTAAACATTTTGAGAAATAGTTAAGGGAAAACCAACGGGTTTAACATTAGACTTAGATTTAAGCCTTAAGCCTTAACGAATATTTAATTATGTGACACATTTATTTTATAAATTTTTCTTAGGTTGTGATCATTAAAGTGTAAGGTGGAAGACTTGTGTCGAAGCGACGTGTCGTACTTGGTTTGAGGTAGGTATTCCTGTTTTTGATAAAAATTTTATGATTTTGTTTCATTCTATTATTTAATGCAAATGATTAAAAAAGTTTCATTATGACACAAATTTATGAATTTTTTATTTTTTGGCAATATGAATATTCAAGTCTTTTATTTCATGAATTTAAGAAGCTCTCATTCTTATGTTTAGAACAAATGTTTTTATGATTTGAACATAATTTTCACACTTATTTTTCAACACGCATATGAATGAAAGATAGTATATTAAAAAATGTGCATGCTGATGCGGAGTGCCCAATGGTAAAGGAGGCTCGTAGAGCCAATGATAAAGGAAATAGCCAAAATTTGATTGTATACATGATCAGTGCAAAAATATGGTCACATCCGAGATGGGTGATAGTAAAGACATTATGCATTATATTGATTCCTTTATGTTCTCTTCAAAGTTATGAAAAGTAATGTTTAAGGAAAGCAAATGATAAATGAAAGATTTTATATTGAGGAAAAAGTTATGAAAAAGAAAATGTTTCTTTTATGTACTGATACAAAATTATGCAAATTTGACAAATTTTTTCATGTATTCATACGAAAAACTGCTTTATTTTAATTTTATTTTAATTTTTATTTAAAGACATGAATTATTTGTTGAGCGTCGGCTCATCCTACTTTTGGAAATATTTTTTTTCAGGAGATAAGTGATGGCTTCACGACGACCGTACACGTATCGTCGTAGGAGACCTCAGGAGGAAATGTTCTCTTTTATGATTTCAGTTTGAGTCTTGAGTTTGTTTATGTATAGTTTGTGAGTTTAAGTTTGAGTTTGGAGTTTATGTAATTGTGAGAGCTTATGCAATGTTGATGGGTTTAAAAATTTTAGTAGTTATGTGAGAAGATAAAAGATTGGAATACTTTTATTTAATGTTGTTTAGTGGCTCTTTCATTTCTGGACGATGTTTCTATTTTGACATTAAAGTTTTAATTGGAACTGTTAATGTTTTATATGTGTTTTTCGTATAACTACTGTTCCTGCCACGATTTTATCGGGCTAACCGGGCCGGGTCGTGACAAGAGTGGTATCAGAGCAAAAGTTTAGTAATGATCAATGAAGGAGCCTATAGGATGATTGATTGAGTCTTAGAATGTATAGGAAGTATAATTTTATGAATTATGCGTCTTATGATTGATATGTTTTACTTTAGGAACATGGATCCTAAGCAGAATGCCACTGATGGCATTGATATGGAGGAAGGGAGGGAGCTACCAGAAGTAGCAGAACCTCAGAGGAACAAATTATGGAGTTATTCGCTCAGATGATGGAAGCGATAACTCAGATGATTAAGACTTCCCAAAATCAGAGCAGTGGCAGTGGCAGTCGACCTACGGATAAGAACCTGAAGCTGTTTCAGGATATGAAGCCTCCACTATTCTCAAGTGGTGGGCCTATAGAAGTTGAGGACTGTCTGATGCGGAAAGAGAAGATCCTTAAGGGCATGTCTTGCCCAGAGGATAGGAGAATGACATTGGCTGCTTATGCCTTTGATGGAGAGGCTGAGAGGTGGTGGAGGAGTCAGTTAGAAGAAACACTTTGAGGAATATCAAGCAACCAAGTCTCCTGGGAGGAGTTTATAAAGGTATTCAGAGGTTGATATTTACATATGTCAGCCAGGATACAAATGCAGGGCAAGTTCAACAGATTGGTTCAAGGAGATCGATCTCTGATGCCACTCTTGTCACGACCCGACCGAGCTAGCCTGATAAAATCGGGATAGGAATAGTAGTCGTACGAAAAACACATATAAAACATTAACAGTTTCAATTAAAACTTTAATGTCAAAAAAAAACATCGTCCAGAAATGAAAGAGCCACTAAACAACATCAAATAAAAGTGTTCCAATCTTTTATCTTCTCACACAACTACTAAAACTTTTAAACCCATCAACATTACATAAACTCTCACAATTACATAAACTCCAAACTCAAACTTAAACTCACAAACTATACATAAACAAACTCAAGACTCAAACTGAAATTATAAAAGAGAATCTTTCCTCCTGAGGTCTCCTATGACGATACGTGTACGATTGTCGTACAGTCATCACTTATCTCCTGAAAAAAATATTTTCAAAAATAGGATAAGCCAACGCTCAGCAGATAATTCATGTCTTTAAATAAAAATTTACATAAAACTAAAATAAAGCAATTTTTTGTATGAAAACATGAAAAGATTTGTCAATTTTGCATAATTTTGTATCAGTACATAAAAGAAACATTTTCTTTTTCATAATTTTTCCTCAATGTAAAACATTTCATTTATCATTTACTTTCCTTAAATATTATTTTTCATAACTTCGAAGAAAACATAAAGAAATCAGAATAATGCATAATGTCTTTACTATCACCCGTCTCGGATGTTCCCATATTTTTGTACTGATCAAGTACACAGTCAAATTTTGGTCATTTCCTTTACCATTGGCTCTATGAGTCTCCTTTACCATTGGCTCTACGAGCCTCCTTTACCATTGGGCACACCGCATCACCATACACATTTCTTTTAATATACTATCTTTCATTCATATGCGTATTGAAAAACAAGTGTGAAAATCATGTTCAAATCATAAAAATATTTATTCTAAACATAAGAATGAGAGCTTCTTAAATTCATGAAATAAAAGGCTTGAATATTCATGTTGCCAAAAATGAAAATTCATAAATTCGAGTCATAATGAAACTATTTCAATCATTTGCATTAAATAATATAACGAAACAAAATCATGAAATTTTTATCAAAAACAGGAATACCTACCTCAAAACAAGTACGACACGTCGCTTCGACACAAGTCTTCTACCTTACACTTTAATGATCACAACCTAAGAAAATTTAATAAAATAAATGTGTCATATAATTAAATCTTCGATAAGGCTCAAGGCTAAATCTAAGTCTAATGTTAAACCCGTTGGTTTCCCCTTAACTATTTCTCAAAATGCTTAATGAATTTTTAATTAAAATAAATTAAATTTTCGAATTTAAATTAAATCTAAATTTTTTTAGATTTAAAAATTAGGATTTTTTACCTAAAGTTTAATTTCGTAAAATACCTTTACGAAAATGAACATTAACTAAGTCGGTTTGAAATTAAGACTTCAGTGGGGTCCCTAGCCCCTAGGTAACGCTTTCTCTCATTTTCAGAACCCTAAGTAGACTGATGTTATCATGCATTTGTAGTGGTGGAAAATGGCAAGCAAAACTCAGAGGTTACACCAATCCCTTTTTTCTCTACCTGGCAAGTTACCATAAAATAACAATGAAAGTCTACACCTTGACAAACCTATTTGATTCCAACAATTTTCATCCTCTTTTTTTTTTTTGGTGCTGGTGTTGCATGAACAACTAGAATAGATGTCAAAGGAATGGAATAATTAGCATTTAAATAATTGTCGTTTTCATGTGGTCATGATAGTAGAAATGCCAAACAAAGATCAGATATTTAATCTCCTCATCAAATGAACAGCCTTCAACACTCTTTCCCGGCCACGGACAGAAGGGATGTGTATAGTTGTGAAACAGGCACAAACTTCAAGCAATGGAAATATCTAATCCTTATTTACAATGATAGCCATGTCTGTGGAATTAGCTTTTGCCGCATTTACTCCCAACTTAGATAACTGAAATAAGTACAGTAGTGCTTTGAATTGTGAAGAAGCCTAAAAAAAGGAGAAAGTGGAAACATGCATTTGGCCTTGTGAGAAAGGAAATATTATGTAGTAAAATCAAAAGATATTGACCAAGACAAATATCATGATCATAAAAGCAATCATAATAAAATCCAACTTAAAAAGGGATACAAGGCACAAAAAGAATTTAAAAAAAAACTATGAAAATACATTATTATGAAAACATACTCTAAAAGGATATATCAAATTCATAAGATGCTTGCCAATGTGGTACCGATGAAGTCAAAAAATTTGATAACACAATCCTATCTATGCCAAGCAAAAAATCTCTGGCCATGTTTTGAACCACAACCTCTTAAAACTAACATTTTAAAAGAAAATACTCAATTAGAATTCTCAAGAGAACGTGACTATCTTCTTAAAGTGAATCAACCACCTAAGTAAAATATGGTATGGATAACAAAAGTTAAAATATCTACATAATTATATAGCATATAAATATCACATTGAAATTGAATATGCATGCAGAATTGTAGCATGTTATTTCTAAAGTTGCAAAAATATAATAATTTAATAAAATGCATAAAATATAATATGAATAAAATCTAACAATAAAAATCTAATGACTTTTGCTACCCCATTGATTACACTTAAAATTTGCATCCAAATTTAAAGAACTAAAATAAATGGAAGGACAATAATCCAGCTTAGCCAGAATGCTACTCTGTTAATCCATGTAATCGTTATGATAGCACAGTATTTGACCACTTGACCTTTCATTTTTTTTAATGCTGCTGAATGAGTTTTTTCTTCTCCGTCAATCAACACTAAAACATTTGATAATAACCAAGAAAATACATTCTCCCTCAAATGCTTTCTAGAAAATCTTCCAACTACAAATAAATGATACTTTCTCCATACATCTAATAGGAGAATTAGGGCAAACTGTTAAAGTGATGACTGTCCTCAGTCCCCGTTGAGGACAAAAACTACAATTTAATCATAAAAATGATAGAAATGAATGATATTGAGTATAAAAATTAGGCACAAACACAAATAATATAGAGGCAGAAATTTCCTCCACATTGCTAGCAAAATTTCTTTAAAAGTAAATTTTTTAATGCTAAGATTATCCTTGTTAAGTTTTTTTTATATCCTAACCCTTTGTCATATTCCACATATGTGAGAAATGAGAACATTTGTCTAGCTTCATAGAGATACCTCCTGTTGCTTTTGGAAATAATATGCTTTTGCAGTAGCTCCTATATTAAAGACTCACTCAATTCTTTCCCATTTTGTTGAGTATATAGCCAAAAAACTTTAGCAGCTGCGCAAACTAAATAAAACTAATATTTTTGCCACAAATAAATAGGAATCCAATCATCCCTAGAGAATATCAAGCAAATTAATAAACAATATCAATAACAGAATGGCAACACAACATTTACCTTCCATAGCATTGTAACTAAAATATATGCTGACCAACATGTTAGAAAATATATTAACACATGCACAAAGATACTGCAATTAGAAAAAAGATAATGTTATAAAAACGTTAACTACCTTTCCTCTATTTACCCGCATGCACCTTAAACATAGCATGGTCAAAATGTTCTTCAGCTCACTAATGTGAGAGGGATGATAAATAGGTATGGGCAACTCAATAAAACCAAAATGCCCTGAAAAAAGTGAACAAAGTTATGGTCACAACGTTTTCAGAAAAGAAAAACCTATAGAGAAAGCAACATATGCAACTAGTAGGCAAGAAAGTCATTTTATCCACCTTCACATTTTTCAGTTTCCACGGTCCCACATGATTCACACCTCCCTGACTCGAGTGGCAAACCAAGAAAAGGGTTTCCCAACTGGCTTGGATGTGATATCGGGCAATTATTAATAGAATATTTGCACTGCCAAAGAAAAAAAAATTTGTCCGCCGCTCAATTGACAGCACAATGAAATAGGAAAAATTGAAATTTCATTTAATATAAAAGTTAAAAAACAAATATACTTACAACTTCATCAAAAGAAGCTAAGCTAAAACTTATGCTAGAAACCGCTCCATTTGAAACTAAAGACTCAATATCCTCATCCATATTTTAGTACTAGTGGTCTGGCACAGAAGAGTGCTGCAATTTATAAGAAACGCATCAAAAAATTTTTAAAAAGGCACTTTATAAGAAATTATAAGCACCGAACTTTATCTGCATTTCTTATAAGGACGTTATAAGGACAAGAATTTTTTCAGTTTTCAACTGCTTGTTGGCTTCAATTTAAAATAAACCTAGTAATAAATAGCATAAGCCTTCCATTAGCAAATTTTGTTTAAAAAAAGGACCATAAGTTCAAGAAAATAAGGCCCAAAAATTAAGAACAAAATGCAGCATTACATCTTGGTATAAAAATAATTCTAAAAATATGATGCTCTAAAAGCATAGGGCGGCAGAAAAACACTCACCTGGCTGGAATAGTACTCAACAAAACTAATATGCTCCCAAATGCTGATGAAAATTTATCACTCCGACACATAAAATACATGGACCGTCAACAGTAAGGAATAAACGCATGCTTAAGCATAAAATGTCAATTGAGTAACGGGGTAAATCAAGAAAAGAAAAAAGAAAAAAATCACTAGCCAAAAAAGAGAACATCGGAATACAAGAATGAATTCATTCAAAAAAAAAAAAAAACGCTGAACAATCTTGTGGATCTTTACAACCAAATGCATGGCATGCAAGGTACAAGACTCCTCGGACATCAACGGATCAAAGAAAGCCGGCGGCGCAAGAGAATTCCTAACCGGAATACCGTGATGTAGCTGAAACCCAGGCGCGTAAAGGGCAAATAGATTCAGCGCAAGGAAATGAGACGAGGAAATGGGAGACGAAAAGTCGACAAAGTGGGTTAGGTCGAGCATCTTACCTCCCCGGAGAAGGAGACGCGCGCTGCCCGTTTCCTTCACAGCAGCAGCTCTTTAAGCAGAGCAAGCCCTAATGGCGGAAAAGAATCAGAAGAAACCCTAAAGTTTGAACGATCGAAAGCGGCTCCAAACCGGCGTAGACAGCCCAGGGTGAGAGCAGACGAGAAGCCTTTGAAGCAGCGCGGAGCCTCAAAGGGCTCGAATTGAAGAAAGAGGAATCGAGTACTGAACAGGCTTATACTTACTGGATGGTGACTCCAGTCACTTCCGGCAGAACCTTCGAAGAAATTACCAAAAGACCCTTCCTAAGTATGATAATCCGGTTATTCCCCTCAACAGGATACACAAAACACAGACGGTATGAGATTGCCACGTCCTATATCATAAACTTTCTGATGCTAAGGATAAACGTGTCGGGTAGTAGTGGGAAGACTGCCATTAGAAGTGCATGAGATTTTGAGGCCTAAATCAGTTTTCGACTCCAATTACCTCGCAAAGAGGAGTGACAGTTCCACTATGCTCTCCAGTCTCCAACGGGGAAGCCTTTGAGCCAAAAATAAAATCTTCTCTTCTTATAGGGTATTCCACGTCCCTTACATGAACTTTGTTATAAAAGATATTTCAAATGCACAATATTGCGCTGGAGCCCAATATCCGAATCAAGAATTGTACGGTAAAATACTTCAATTTCAACCGATAATTTATTATAAAGCCATTTTTTAATATAATAATATTTGTATTATATATATATAATTCTAATTTAATAAATAATAATTCACCCAACCCAAAATTTGAACATTCTTTTTCACTCATCATCGCTTAGTTGAGCCTCCAAATAACAACAAGAGACCTCTAAAATATATTTTTTTATGAAAAATAAATTAATTAATTAATATTATAAGTACATTAGTCATTAAACTTTACACCTCAAAATTGGATACCTTCTTTATTGATATATGATCAAAAATTTATCTTGCTCAGACAGGAAACTCGAGGCAAAATTAAGTTGGAAACTTCATAAATTAAATTGGAGATCATCTGAACTCTGATTTCGACAAACTTATAGGCGAATTGAACGTCTCAAAAATACAAACCCAAAGACACCAATTTTGACTCAATACGAGTCCAAATTGGTCCAAATCAAAGACCCGAAGTTCATTTGGAAGGTTCAATCCATAATTTGAATTATCAAACAGTTTTCAAACGTGATATGCTTATAATCGAATCGAGCGGCTCGACGAGACGAATCCAATGAGCCCAAGATCGTCAAATTCTAATATCGTTAAGACATTCAAATGCTCAGTAAAAGATCCATGATTGAGGGATTCAACATCGGTCATCCATTCAAATCACTCTCAATTTATCCTTGATTTTTTTTCATATTTACTAGTCATGTCACTCTCAGAAAACTACAAATATATCTCTCATTTTACATAGAGGGGGGACCCCGAAGGATGAGAAAGAAGGGGCCCAAGAAAGAAGAGATGGAAGACAAAGAAGATTTCTCTTGCCACCATACCCCCTCCTCGATCACCTTTCGACCACCGACCGACGCCAAACTTCTTCCCATCACTTGAATTCTACCTGACAATGGACTTCCACCCATCACCGGATTTCTACCCGATGTTGAACTTCCGCCTGTCGCTGGACTTCTGTCCGTCACCGGATTTCTACCAGACATCGGACTTCCACCTATCATTGGATTTCTACTTGATGTCGGACTTCTGTCCGTTGCTAGACTTATGTCCATCGTCAGAATTCTACCCGACGCTATACTTCTTCCCTTCGCTAGATTTCTACCCGACATCGAACTTCCACCAGTCGCTGGATTTCTACTTGATGTCGGACTTCTTCCTCTTGCAAACTTATGTCCATCAATGGAATTCTACCCGACGTCGGACTTTCGCCCCTCGCCGGATTTCTACTAGACGTTGGACTTCCATCAGTCACCAGATTTCTACCCAACACTAGACTTTCGACCGTCGTCGAATTTCTACCTAACACTAGATTTATGTTTGTCGCCGGACTTATGCTTATCGTCAAACTTATGCCCACCGTCAGATTTCTACCTGACGTCGGACTTCTACATGTCACAAGATTTCTTCCACTAGACTCTTCCTCGACCACCATCCGACTTCCACCCGGTAGCCTACCAACGTCAGACTTCTACCCGATCGCCAATTGATGTCGGACTTCTATTCGGCTACCAACTAATGTTGAACTTCTACCCGACTGCCAATTAATGCCAATTTTTTTGCCCGTCCACCAACTAACATCAAATTTTTGCAAGGCTGCCAATTGATGTCGGACCTCCATTACATTTCAACTACAGTCCTTTTGACCTCCGTCGTCCACCAACTACAATCCTTCTAATCTCTGTCACCCATTGACTACGGTCCTTCTGACATCTGTCGCTAGACAACGGTCTTTCTGACCTACGTTACCCGCCAACTACGATCCTTCTGACCTATGTCGCTAGACAACGGTCCTTCCAACCTCCATCGTCCGCCGACTACTATCTTTCCAACCTCCCGTCATCATACAACGGTCTTTCTGACCTCCGTCGCTCGCCGACTACGGTCCTTTCGACCAAACAAACACATCAATAGTGATTCTTCTTGTTTCCACCTTTTAACAAACTATATATGATGTGTATTTATAACATCAAGTTAAGGCCTTCACCCCAATGAAGGGCTTCATTTGTAATAAATTGTAAATACTAGTGGATTCATTCAAACTGGGCTAGGCCCCGTGATTTTTCTCTTTTTTAAGATTTTCCACGTAAAATCTTTGTGTCTCTTATGAATATTGCACCCGCTCCTTTTATCTGTATGCATGATGGATCTTCTTACAATGCTAAGATGTTAAACTTCATTCTTATCTACCATCGTGAATATTCCAAGACGCAACATTGCTTAAAATTTTTCAGGAATATGATTTAAGATTTAGATAACTATTGATGGCAATGTGAACTTGGTCATAAAAATTGTTCATGTCATCTCATGCATGAATATATTTTGAAATTTTCTTACAACAATGAAACAAATTATTTTCTACTTTCCTAAGATGTGTGCTTTAATATGAATCACACTCACTTATTAATTGCATCGGCTAAAATTTTTATGAAGCATGATTGTATCACTTATTAGTTTGATCCACTAAGATTTTTATTAAACATAATTGTATTGCTAATAAAATTTTGATTCTCCAAAACTTGAAACCATTTGGCATCTCAAACTTAAACATCATGTAAATTGATCTTAAAATTATGCTCTCATGTTCATTTGGTGTAATAATGGTTTCAACTATCAAATGTTGTTGCAGAGTGTTAAAAAAAAAGAAATAATATTCTCCAAAGATTCAAAAAATAGAAGGAAAAGCACAACATAGAAGATATACAGTAGTCGTATGTGATTTGGCTTCCATCAAGCCAACTCTCATGGGTGCAAATAAGGTTTATTTTTCTTTAAATGGTTGGGAAGACCTCTTCTCCAAAGATAGAGGATCCAATCACTAAATAAAACATAATGTATAATGGTATTGTACAAATTGAATATTCAACATATTAAAAAAAAAAAATAAGACTACACCCACAATAAAATAGAGAAGAAGCCCAATATAATCGCTCATCAATGTAGTCATCTTATAATTATCATATTTAAACAGAATTAAGAAATTCAGTCCTAATAAGATCTGTCATGGAAGCCAACACAACCTGACTCAATATGACACATGCCACCACACATGTCATATCATGTCTGATCATGGCAAGAAGCAGATCAAAACCTAATATAAGAATCTACTCAGCTCGTTCCTTACAGGCCCTCTCCTCGGCATCTTGCTCCTTAGTCCTTACCCCTTTTCCTGGCCTGAAAATGTAAGCAAAAGTAGGAGTGAGCTAACACTATTTAGTAGTAGGCTACGATAACTTAATACATGAATCAATAACTTAAACCAAATGAACAAAAAATGTTGAATAATAATAATAATAATTGAAGTATTGTGGGCAAAGATGAAACAAAATAAGGCACTAATACTAAATTGAAATAAACATGTAAAAAAACTTCTAAAATTGATTGAAATATAAGCAAACACCTCATAGCAAATATCATAATGGCCTCAAGCCCAACTTCCAATAAATAGCAAATAACATAATACCTTCTCATCGCCATCAAAATTTATTCTTGATTAATACAGGCTCCAAAATTTTCAATATATAACAAATAATAGAATTCCTTCTCTCTGCCAACAAAATCTCTTCTCTCCACCAATAGAAATTCTTTTCAAAAAATTCATGTGTATCAAACACTTATATTAAAAATAAAGTGCATTCTACACTACTAAAATGATTACAACGTTATTGTTCAATTCTACAAAAATATTCTAAAGACTGTCAAAATAATTTCTCAGCCAGTGTTATACAGTTCACCACAATTATAGTTTTCAAAATTCTATCATATTACTAGAGATTGTGTATAATAGCATTTAGAAACTTTAACTAAACTAAAATGCTAATTTTAAATAACAAAACAAATTTCTGAATTGATAAAAATTGTTACTTTCAAAATTACCAGGCAAAATGTTTTGAATAAATACTTAAACAACCAGAATAATTGTGTCGATAACATCTCAAAAGCTACCTAGTTGAAATTTACCAGAATTCGAGAAAATCATATTTTTGCAAAATTAAATTATAAATTCGATAAAAAAATTCCAAAAACTATGAATTATTAAAAATTGATATAGATAAAATGTTACCTACCTCAACCTAAGCAACTTTCTAAAATGTATTGTCAGCTGAAAATTACTCAAAGAAGCTCGAAATGGAGTTTATCTCACTAGAATACCTCTCTCTATCACTAGTGTCAGCTGTCCAAACAAATCAAATGGAATGGAATATGGGATTTGGATATTTAAATTATTAAAATTCGGCCTAGCACCGCGACAACAGCTTCAACACTACCTCCTAGAGCCCACAGGCCACAACATCGCAGCGCCATCCCAGTATTGTTACGCTAAATTAAATTCTAATTTTGTAGAAAGCACTAGCATTGAAGTGTCACGGTGCCGCAAGGGAGAAAGTTTTAGATTTCCAAACATACAATCAAACCTCTATGACCCATGCACAATGGAACACATACTGACTCACATGCACACATAACTCTTCCAAACACATGTAGATGGGGTGTTCAAAAAGTAGAAATTTAGCGGATTACCT